ATTTATGATTGGTCGTGGTCATTCCCTTCTGTTGTCCTTTTGTTATCAGAAATGTTCAGCTCTCAGTCAGCTGTGCCTCGTTTGTCTCATTCTTAAGCAGTTAGTTCTTTTGTGCCATAAGGTGCTGATGGAGAGGAGTCAGCTTCTTCAACCAGTAAGCGTTAATCAATGGGCCTGGTGTTGTCTAGTTCTTCATACCTGGGAGTCTTTGTCGGATGTCTACCAATGTTATGTTTACTGGAGTTTTTTTCAGGGAGACTAGTGTGGTCTGCTCTATTTAATGTATTATTATTTATTTTAAGCCACTTGTTCATTTTCTTGCCTAGTACAATTTCATATTGTCAATAGAGATGGGATCTTTCATTGAATAGGTATAGCTAAAGTATGTAGGTGGTTGCAGAATTGCTGAGCCTGGCTAAACACTCAGCAGAGGCAAGGATGGACATCTAATCATGAGCCAATGTAAAGGGTAAAATTCTCCACTTTGAGATCAGTAAAGTCAGTCAATCAATCAATGAAGGCAGTGTGCTGTACCTTAATATAGGGTGAACTGCTTAAGATGTGGCTCATTTAGCAACAAAAATTGTATGTGTATATAGATGTAAGTGATTTTGGAAGAACCTTAATAAGGTCCATGAGCAATGAAGATTTGAACATCCAGTCCAGCCTCACATCACTGTCGGCCAGCAGGTCTGCCAGACTTCCCCGTGGACAGTGCTCAACCACTAGAGCAAGAATCCCTGAATCCACAAACAAACCCACGTATAGATTCAGATTCTCATGACGCATTTCACGCAGCTGGAAACAAACACAACAAGACCATGTTAGAACTGTTATTCAACTTTGAAACTGATGAAATTAGCATTTACTGACAAGAGGTTGTGTACCTGTTCTATATGTATTTGCTGGGACTGTAAACCATCTTCTTTGGTTTGTGTACCTACCTTAATAATCTTGATTTGGTTACAATCTCAAATAATTTCCCCTTCATAATCTGGCTAAAGTGGCTGGTACACTGAGATTGAAGGTCATTCCACATCTTGGGTGGCAAACAAATCATATTTTTATTCATCATTGTTCTAAATCTTGACCCTCTCTTTGTCTTTTTACTTACTCTACACCATGCCACCATGTGGTTGTGTAGGTGTTGGCCCTGGTGTGTATAAAGTACACAGACAGTACTTGTGCAATGCTCCATTCACGATAAAAAGTGTCAAAAAGGCATCCAACGGCTCAATTTGAATGATTGTGCACTTTGAAATTAGATGCATCGGATGCCTTTGACATTAAGCTGCTCTGTTTTTTCCTTGTGATCTAGAGATTGGTTTGATTTAATTGCTTTGATGAGTTGGGGAAAAAAAATGTTTTAACATGTTTTTGAGCGGAAAAGTTGCAGACTCCCCATATAACGGTGGATGACAGAGTTGGAAGTTCCCACTAAAAGCTACCTGAAAGTGGCCAGGCGGATGGGGATTTCCTATTGCCATTTGTAAAGATTGAAAGTGAATAAAAAACAGTTCAAGAGCTAGCATAATGCCTATAATGCTATGTTCAGACCACAGGCAGCAGAAGCAGCAAAAATGCGTGTGCTGCTTAATTTTTGATGCAGTACGAGTTTAGTTCTGACACGAGGCTGAAGCATCTTTGCTGCTCTAGCTGCTTGGCTGAAAAGTGGGTCTGATGCGTGTTGGGGGGAGCTACCCTGTCCTTTCTTTGCCTGTAACAATTGTGGATGAAATCGAGAGTGTTGCTTGGTGTATTTTATAGAATATTGCTACATTCAGACCGCAAGCACTGGAAGCAGCAAAAAAGTTCTGCTGCTTCATTTTTGCTTCATGCTTGTCTAACTCTACTGAGTGTGCCTGTGATGAACCTTACCGACAATAAAATGGCTTTTTAATTTAAAAGCTATTAAAATAAGATTTTATTTGACAATGTTGGTCCTCAGCTTCTTGGGCATGTTATCTTCCTGCTTCAAATTTCCTCTACCATTTTGCATCTGTGGGGTGTGTATGTGTTTTCCTGAGCTGTTTGTGTCTCTTGTTCATCTACTGTGTGATTACTGTATTTTTGAAGGGCGCTCTCCGTACCTGGCTGAACAGATTCTGGGTATTTTGGTTGACAGCTGTTGTCTTTCCAAAAGGAACTTTTTTCAGCCAAACCCAGTCTCCCTGGAAACAAACATTCAGTTGAAGCAGAATTAGTCAGAAAACAAAGAGATACAAATAATTTTAGAGGTAGATAGACATATAATGCCTTAGTCTTTACCCCAGTATGTGGAATTGATGTATTCTCTGGAGTTCATACATTAGGCTCATGGTGGCGCAAAATATATAGGAACTTTTGATTTATATATGACTTCATTTTTTCTTTCTTCATGCCTTTTGTATCTCTGCTCCTGTCTCCTTGAACCCCAGTCCGCCTCAGCAGAAGGCCACTTACACTGAGCCTGGTTCTGCTGGAGCTTTGTTCCTGTTAAAAGGGAGTTTTTCCTCTCCACTGTCGCTACAAGCATGCTTAGTGTGTGGGATTGCTGAACAGTCAATGAGTTGATGCAATCAACTGGTTTTCCTTAGAAAACTTTAAATCGAATTGGCTGTATGATCTGGTGAACTGTAAAGAGCCTTGAGATGACAAGTCTTGTGAAATGGCACTATATAAATATAAATTGAATTGAAGTGAATATTTTGTGACCTAGGGCTGACTGTTTATTTTCAGCTGTCTACTCCATACAGTCAAGGAACAAAAAGTTTTAAACCAATTGGGACTGAGCTAAACAAACCTGTTCAAGCTCCCATGTTTATCTTGCAACCATGTGAAAAGAGTGACAATTTTTGCCTTATAAGTTTCATTAACAACTATTACTCTTGGCCTGTAGGCCAATCATGAAACATTTGGAAACTTTTAAAGGAAAATATATTTTTCAGCTCTAAAATCACAGATCCAAACTATGTGAAGGTAAGCATACTAGTAATAAAAACTCCACCCCACTTTTAGTTACAGTGGGGATCTATGTAACTGTGATCATAAACTTTTGTTTCCAGAAGTTTTTAATTACATAAACAGAATTGTAAAATAATGGTAAGCTCTAAAAAATTAAAATACTTGTTTGTTTTTTTAAGTAAAACAGTGATCCATACATATGTGCAATCAACAGAAAAAAGGATGCTACCTTTCATTGAATTCTCAGTTCCTAATTGATCCAAACACCAGTGTCACACTGATGATTTTGAATAATTCATATTTTTCAGTGTATTTTTTTCTTTAATAGGCAATTTTAAGGATATCTACACATTTGTATTCCCTTCCACTGATGCAAACCAATGTGCACACTGACAAACATAGGTACCTCCAATATCCCAATGTTAGAACTCTCAGGCGTTGTCAGGATGTAACTTCTGGCAATTGAACGAAGTGGAGTTTTAATTTCCAAAAGACTCCTCATGATTGACTCGTCGTTTAGCTTCTAAAAAAGAAAAGTGATTATCATAGGATTATTGTAAGCAGACCCTAAATGACATGACAAACTATATGAACAATTGAAAAAAGTATAAAAAATGGCTAATAAAACAAGCCTTTTAAAATCCAATTCTATGCTCATCTGTGATTAAACAAACAAAACTGGATCTATTGTCATTAGAAAATGATCTTGATGGTCTTCTAAATAATTGTATATATTTCAAAGTGTATGAATATATTTCAAATGAAACCACTATTTTTGCTTATATATACATTTCATTCAGATTAAAAAATCTTTCCATGTTTTTACTTTTTGTTGTGGTCTTTGCTATTTGGGGTTTCCATTAAATCATGTGAGAGTTTACCGAGTTCTGCATCATTATCACCATTGTTTTTCTTTCTTCACAAATGGTTTGTTTCAGATTATTTCAATAAACAATTCACCAAGAGCAAAAGTAAAGGAAACACTAAAACGTTGAAGCAGTTTAATTCTGTATTTAGGTCAAATTTATACAAACACATGCAAACAACATTTCAGACAGAAAAAAAAAAAAAAAAACATTTGCTGACCTTCTTACTAACTTGAGTGTCAATAAAAACGATGTCATCCATGGTCAGGATCAATTTAGTAAAGTTTGTTGATTTCTTGTACTTCCTATGAACAAAAAAAAAAAGAATTATTTGAATGTATGGGATGTATGCTCATAGAGTGACAGCCCATATGGGAAGTATTCACAGATCGCTCTTCATGTTGTCTCCAGACTTTGTCAGGTCTGTCATATGTGCTCAGTGTGAACCTGCTTTCATCTACGGAGAGCACAGAGAACCAGTGGTGAAATTGCCAATCCTGGTGTTCTCTGGAAGATGCCAAGAATCCTGCATGGTGTTGGGCTGCAAGCACAACCCACTCTGTGAATGTTGGGCCCTCATACCATCCTCATGGAGTCAGTTTCTGTTTGTGCAGACACATGCACGTTTGTGGCCTGCTGGAGGTCGTTTTGTAGGGCTCTGGCAAGGCTCCTCCTGTTCATCTTTGCACAAAGGTGGAGGTAGCAGTCCTAGTGCTGGGTTGTTGCCAAGTAGTAGGACCGTAGGACCTCTTCAACATCTCCTGTACGACGAAACCACAGGGTTTCATCATACAGCGTGAGCTTTAGCTGCGTGCAACGATTGAAAAAAATCGCACAGTGTATGACCGGCTTAAGTGGACAGTTTGATTTCAAAGAGGTTTTATTTGATTGAAGTTATATTGTTTTTGTTAACGTGTTCCCCTTATTTTTTGAGCTGCATATTAAACTTGATTCTAAAATTTTGCATATAATACACTGTTATGATGTTAAGATGTGATTTTTTTTGAATTACTGCAAGTTCCTAAGAAACAAAAAAAAAAAAAAAAAACAAGAAAAATCACATTTAGGTAAATGTTCATAGTCTGTACCATGAAGCTAAGGTGTACACTGTTTTGATTGGGAGAGCAGGGCCTTAGCCATGGAGGTGACCAAGAACCCCATGATCGCTATGTCTGAGCTCAAGCTTTTCTCTCTGGAGAGTCAATTACAAGCATCCCTGCAGCAATCCACCAATCAGGCTTGTAAGACTGCCTGAAGGACTCTCAGCCCTTGAGAAATTAATAGTCTGATGACACAAAATCCAAACTTGATTCTGATTGATGATTTCTGGAAAGACCTCAAAATTGGCTGAGGGAAGACATCTTCTACCCAACCTGATGGAGTTTGAAGTATTGAAAAAGTTTGGGCCAAACCCCCAAAGGAGAGGTATGCTTTGCTTGTGGCATCATTTAAATAGACGTGAGACTTTATTTCCCGCCAAAGGTGGATCAAAAAACGTATAAATGAGAGGCTGTGAGTACTTATGAAGAGGTGCAACTAAGTACAAATATGTACTGTACCTCAGTATCTTTTTGTTATCCACTTTACCTGAGTATTTGTTTTTCCCCAGGACTTTTAATCTTTTAGAACTAGACTGGTAAACTTTTATTTATTTTTTTACAGGGCAGGCAAACATTGTAGATGAGGATGGATGAGATTCTGAGATGCAAGATATTTCCCACCCATTTCCTTTCCTTTCCAAAATGAACATGTTGATTATCTTACAAGTTCGAATTCAGTATTAATGTTATTTACAACTTCAACACTTTAAATACGTGAGCTGTAAAAGTATTCAGTTGCTTATGGTTTGTATAATCTATATTACCCTGTTTGAAATTTTGATATAGAACAAGGTTACACATATATTTTTTTATGTTCTCTTTACCAACACTGAACAAAAAAAAAAGGAGAAAAACAAGCTATTTTAAGTGCAGACAACTGAATTTTCAGAATCGCGTTTTTTAAAAGTTATTTGGTGTCATTTAGGGTAAAAACTTAAATTTCAGTTTTATACTTAAGTAAATTGTAGACTTGTACTTTTCTAATTTTACGTAAGTAAGGGAGTTCACTTGGTACTTTCACTTTTACCAAAGTTGTTTTTTCTTCGACACAGGTTTCTGTACTTTAACCTAAATAGCGAATGTACTGCACAAATTAAAAACTTAAGTAAATTAATTGTTCTTAAAATAAGTGCATTTCTTCTTGAATTGAATGGGTCAGTAAGACACTCTGTTAATGGAATAAGACTATTCCTAATCCCCACCCCAAGAAGAGATACCTTCCTCACAGGGACCCTCATTGGTCCCCACAAGTACCTATTAGTCTGTAAAATGTAGCATATTCCTGAGAAATGGTCCCCACAAGGAAAAAAGAGACTGGCCACTTATCCAACAATACTGGTGGATTAACATGTCATCTTTCTTATATCTCCTTTATATATTACATGGAACAGCAGAACATAAACTTTTTGAAAAATCAGCTTCTAAGCAAGAAGAAGAGCAACTATGATCAGCGCAGATTATAAATGTTTTTCATTTTTTGTGATTATCATCGTTATATTGCAGCCTTTATTCTAATCTTGGTCCTCAAGCACAATATCCTGCAGATTGTTTTTTGTTTTGTTTTTTGTTCTCCAACTTAGGTACAACTGATTCCAACTGATGGCTTATTAACTGGCTCTGCTAAATACAATAACATGAATTCAGGCTTATTATAGCAAACAAACATCTAAACCATGAAGACAAACTTATACATTACTATCCCTTTTTCTTTGAATAAAAGCCTAAAACAGAGCAGTAGTACACACACACATATATACGCCACACACCTATTTCTATATGATTGTTTTCTTAATGTCCACCTATATAGTCATCACAATCTGTTATGTTTAGTTTGTGTTAAAAAGGGAAAATTTGTTGGTGTGTCTGTGTGTTTGTGCTACCGTGTTTTTCTACCTTGGGGAGATGATTTTCAGGCAATATGCTACATTTTGGGGACTTTGGAGATTTTGGAACCAACAACTGGTCCTCATGAGGAAATACTCTTCTTTGGGGTGGAGGTTAGATTCAGGACTAAGGTAGGAATTTGGTTTAGGTTAGGTTTGGGACTAGGGAAGTGTTGTTGAAGGCTAGGGGTAGGCCATAGGAATGAGTGGGACATGAATGGAAAGACCCAATAAGAATAGTATTACACAGTTTGGGTCTGTGTGTGTGTACCAGTACCTGATCCAAAAGTAAAAAGCTGCTGTCAGTCCACAAAGCAGAAGGAAGATGAAAAACGTTGTCACTGCATCCACACCTTAAAGAGAAAACAATGTCTTTAGATCTATTAAACAAGATCCTTGAAACATTTAGCACACACAGCCACATGGCAGTTAGTAGGGGTATGCAACAAAATACCCCTTACATACATTTGTAACAAGGGAGAAAGATCTTACACAGAACTTTATGTTCCAACATTCACAAAGCTCCAACCTTCTCATTTTAATCAATAACCCTACCTGCACTGCAAGCTTCGTCTGGATTGAACCAACAAAAATGGGATTTGGGAGGTTTTCCTCCTGGAAAGAAGAACGACCTGCTCAGAGATGTCAGACCCCCAACCATTCCATCGATGTGTTTCGGTCCAAGTGAATGCGTGGGCACAAGCCGATCACCATCACTATCCAACACCACATACCTGGCCTGAAGGCCAGCTCCACCTTTACCACCATATAACACCTATGAAAAGCAAAGGACAAAAACAAGCCAATGGTAAAGACAATTTCACAGTTAATATGGTTTGAGATAAAAAAGATAAATTAGAAAAACAAGACTGAAGCTTTGCTATTAGAATCATAATTTGAGAGGCATTTGTGTTTTTAATGAAACCAAACGTAAAAGGGACAAAAAACTTCAAAGGATATATCCTTTTAGTGATGACTCCAAACAGCTCACAACACAAATTAAACTTTAATTTTCTCAGGTCTTAAAAAACTTTGTTTGCGTAATTGAAAACATTTTATAACATTTTATTTTAAGTTTTATTTATATAGGGCCAATTCACAACACATGCCTTCTCAAGGCACCTTAACCCCTAGAACCCTACGGACCCACCGGTGGGTCCAGCTGCTACGTGACCTCGTAATTTTAACAAACCCCCAGTATTGATGTAAAAAACACATTTGGCACAGTTTGGTGACATTTTTGGATAAATGTGCCAAAATGGCCTTTCCGCCTAAGAAATTTCTCACTAATACCATTCTAAAATAAATATGATTCATCTGATTGAGTCCAAATTTGGTATATTTTTACACAACATTTAGATTTAAAAGTCTGTACTACTTTTTTGTGCTATAAATAATATTTTGGTAGTGTTTTGCAATGTTTATTTCAAAGAAAATTTTGGCGAGGTTCAAAAAATGCAAAATATTTTGTATTTTGTCCCTAATATTTCAGGCAGGGTCAAAGCTACAATGGTGCTGACACCAGAAAACCATTCTATGACATCTTACTGTTACAGAGGTACCAAATGTTTCTTCTTAAATCTAATAGCTGTGAGGCTATAAGTGATTTACTTTTGTGTGTTTTTGTCAGGCAGAAATTTATTTATACCCCCTGAGGGTGTAAGAGGTTAAGGAGACGATTCAACCAGATCTTAGAGTTAGACTGGTTTAAATTTTTTTATTTAAGGAAAACCAGCTGATTGCATTGACTCATTGACTGTTCAGCAATCCCTCACACCAAGCATGCTTGTAGCGACACTGGAGAGGAAAACTCCCTCTTAACAGGAAGAAACCTCCAGCAGAACAAGGCTCAGTGTGAGCCAGAGACTGTCACAAAGTAAGTCAGATTGAATTATATTAAATGCAATGCAGAAATCAAAGAACATGACCCTCACATTGCTGTCTGCCTTGTCTAAATGGGAGGGAGTTTGTTCACGCAGTTGTTTGACAGTATCTTCAACTTCACGGCGATAAGAAAACTGCAGGGTTTCTGAAAGCTGCTTGTTGGTTTGTTGAGGTGAACCAACAGAAGTCTTTCTAGGACCTTCCTGCTGTGATATTTTAGGGCAAAAGGTCTATAGTCACTAAGGACTGTTGGCTGAGTCTTCTTCGGTTCTGGAACAAGACATGTGGTCTTCTACGTCACTCAAACTACCACCTGCATCAGACTAAGGTTGTAGAGCTGCTGTAGATTCCCACAGAGCTGCTCTGCACAGGCATTCAGGACTCTGGGGTTTACACCATCAGGATCTGGTGACTTATTATGAATCACTTTCTCCAGTTGCCTCTTCATCTCTTGAAAGCTTGACTGAGACATTATCCCATAACAATGACAACAATTGGTCATATTACTTTTCTTTACTGACCTGGTTGAAGCCCTTGAAGTCAAAGCCTCCATCTGAGTTGAAGAGCTGATTTCCTGTCACCCAGTGCCCACCGCCTGCTTGGCGGCGCTCTTCCACAGCCATAGCAACATAGTAAACCATATTAAAGATGGTTCCAAATAGTGGGGATACCTTTAAGGAAAATCAAGGAAATAGAAATAATGGAGTTGTTAGAATAATTGTATATAAATGTATCTGTGTAGTGTTATAATGCATAAAGCTGTGTGCTATGTGCATTTGTTCATAGCCACCCTTTTCTAAAGTATACTGTGATTTGTGGACTTCCTTTTGGGAAGGTTATGGTTAATTTACGAGCAGCATTAAACCTGCTGAACTTTGGTGAACAGCTTCCACAGCTTAAACTTTAACTGAACCCTGAGATTTAGTGGATATGTTTACTGAGACTGCAAGTCTGAATTCCTTATCTTGTTTCCCCTCCCTAGTGTAGTCTCAGCTGTTGTAACCAGGGACCCCTGATTTCAATAAATTGCGAGGAGAACGCTGGGACCAGAGTGGGTTGGAGATTGGTAAACTCTGCAGTCTCTTTTCTACTCTCCTCGCGAGTACAACTAAATGAATTATCTCTGTACCTTTTTTCTTTCCCTGTATGTATGTATGATGTTTTGGGTGCTTAGACCTGACAGGAGTAAAATAAAACAAAAAAATATTCATTTATATGATCAATTTATAGAATATATATAACATCTATATCAGTTTTCGCTAATGGGAGATTATATAAACTGTCAATTAACTGTAGTCAAACCTCCAGGAAGTTACAAATATAGTTTTAGATTTCCTTAACATCTGCAAATAGGGACAGTTATGTTTATTCATCTCGTTCTATTTTATGTTTTTATTTTAATTTATTGTTGAATTTATGTCTTTACTAACCATGCTAGTAATTACTAATTAAAGCAGTAGACCTATTATTCTGGAGACAGTCAAATTGAGGACAACTGTTTGGTTCTGTTTAAGTTTACCTTTGGGGTTCTCAGTTATGCTTTAAATTATGTTTTTCTATGTTGTTTTCAAGATTTATATCCTTTAATTATAATCTATTTGTTTTACTCTTCCTTTTTACTTCTTTCAGTTTCTCTTTTTTATTATTTTTTAGGGCAATTAGCCTCTCAGGACCACCTCCCAATCAGGAGTTGTAAGGTCAGGTGAAAATCAAACATGTTGGAAATCCAGTCTGGTTTTTGGACGTACAGTGTAAGCAGTTAGATCACATCAGAGCATCAGCTCATACAGGGTAAGAACGTATGCCGTGAGCTGTGCACTTTTAAACCCTACAGTTTTGTTGTACAGTTTGAAAAGTACAAAGACTGAAAATATTGTACAGTGTCTGCCTTGCTTTAGCTACTTCTGTCCACACCTACTCCCAGGTTACCTACTCCTAGCTTATCAATCCACTCATTGTTCTGTCTACCATATACTTCTCTGCAGTTACTCATTGTTGGACTTGTTTTTTGTTTTTATGTTCCCTGCTTCTTCAGTCCAGGGTTATGTTTTTGTTGCCACCAATTTCATCACCTACAAGAAAACATCTCTGCTTTCATCTCTGCATTTGGGTCCTCTACAAACAACCACCAAACCTGACAGTGGTAGAGAAATTTAGTTTTTTGTTGCAACTAGCGACTTTAAGCTGTTTGTTTAGTAAAATTCAATAAACTGAACATAGTCTTTATTTCTATTTTTAAATATACCCATCCATCCATTTTCCATCAGACCTATCCCAAGCAGGGTTGCAAGAGGTGCTGGTCCCTATCTCCAGCTGTCTACGGGTGAGAGGCGGGGTTCACCCTGGACAGTCCATTGCAGGGCAACACAGAAACAAACAGGACAAACAACCATTCGCTCACACCTAAGGAGAATTTAGAGAAGCCAATTAACCTAACAGTCACGTTTTTGGACTGTGGGAGGAAGCCAGAGTACCCTGAGTAACTCATGCATGCTCAGGGAGAACATGCAAACCCCATGCAGAAAGACCCTGGGCCGGGAATCAAACCCGGAACCTTCTTGCTGCAAGGCAGCAGTGCTAACCACTGTACTACTGAGCAGCCCCTTTAAATACATAAATGCTGTTTTAATTTTTGAATATGGCTTTTTTCTGCTAATAAAGGGTTCATAAACCATGATCCATATTAAAATCATGTTTTCACTTATATCTGTCATGAAAGATGAATTTAAGCCTCTCCAAACCAAGATTAATGCATTTCAACCCAGCCAGTCTCTGGTTGAGGTGGTGAGTTGCTGGCTACTCAATGACTATTTTGGAATTTAACAGGCTGTGATATTTGGGGGAAGGCTGGGTGAAGCTATAGGAGTATTCCTGGAAAGGGGCCTATCGCTTAGAAACTCTATTCAGGCTTAAACTTAGAAGACTTTGAAATTTCAAGCCCATTATATGGTTTGATTTAAGGAGTTAGAGTGGATAGGCTTTGTTCATTGGACAGCAAAATAAATGATTCAAAATCTTCCAAAAATCGTTCCTTCATTATGCTGCTATGTACAAAGTATTCTCTTTAGTTAATCAATTGAAAATATAAAAAGCATTTAATAAATAATAATAATTGATCCTAATAATAATAATTGCGCCTAGGGAGCAGTGTGGGGTTAAGGGTCTTGCTCAGGAACCAGTGGGATTCGAACCATGTACTTGCAACCTTCCCAGAGCACAAGCGCACTGCTCTAATCACTAGGCCACCACTCCCCAACATTTGGTGCTCAAGGCAGTAAAGCAACGCTATCTATAACTAAGCAGCAAAACCGATGAAATGAAATGGAGTCATAGAAGAAAAAAAAATCTAGGAGCAGCCTTTTGATTAAACATCTGTGTGCTTGCATATGCTTTTCTAATGATAGATGTGCAGTACTTAATCTTCATGTTTATGATTTGCTGTTTATTTCTTTACCTCTGTGGCAGTGATGGCAGAACGGATCTCCCGGGTCATCTGAGCCTGCCGAAAACTTTCGTAAAAGCTCTGGTCAGAGGCCATGGTAACTGTCAGGACAGCGCCGTAGGCATGACGAAGCCGTGTATTGTTGGTCAGCAGGGGGAAGGTTATATCCTAATTTAAAAAAATCAAAAGGCAAAATTAGTTAACAGGAATATAAATTAAAAAATAACATTTTCACAAATCAATTCCTTATGTTTAGAGAAAACAAGAGGAAAAATAACAAAAATGTAGGTTTATTAAGCTGTTGCTAAAATTTCACTTAATAGATTAGTATGATGCAGTTGGAGTTTACCTTGGAGACTGATCAGCTTATTTCTAATATGTAGGAGTGGTGGTATAATACGCCACAAGTGGATTTACAGTTATTCAGAAAAAACAGGTCTCACTAAATTTGACTACTGTAAACCTGGCAAACTATATTGTGAAATACAACGATTTATCCTTTTAAAACATTTTTATTGTTTTTTTGTTTTCACCTGGTAAGGCATGGCATATAGAAGGGCATCATAGGGAATAAAGATGTAGCCATCAGCGACCATCCTCATGTCTAGAGCAGCCAACAAGAGTTCTTTCTGGGTTTCTCCACCAATCAGGATGGAGCTCATACACATGATGACCACTTGAAAGGAAATAAGGTTAATTAGCTGCTTGATTTCTACTCCGAAGCAAACAAAAATGTCTGATGACAGCATAAAAAAAGATATTTGGCAGTCTCTTTTTATTTATCCACCAGATAGATGTGGTCATTAACTTGTGATCTCCTCCTGCAGAGGTTTCTGCCTTAGAAGCAGACATTGCTCTTTAAAAATTGCATTGTTTTGGCAAGGATTGTTTAATTTCTTACCTTTGCATGTTATTAGACTTGACTTAATTTTTGTTTTTTTGTTTTTTTTACATGAAAATATGTTTGCTATGATCTGACCATTTCAAATAATAGTCTGATTAAACCAGACAGGACAGACACCAGTTACCAGATAGATATATCAAATTTTTTATACAAGGGAAAAATACATTACTTTCCAAGATATATTTATAAAATTAATATTCCAAAATGAAGTAATAATGATGTAATGTAATAATATAGCAGTTAAAAAAAACCTTTATAATATGTTTGCATCATTGTGGACCTCTGGTCTTTGGGGCCTTTCTTTCTGGCTCCAGGCAGCCTACTATAAGTTAATCTACGTATAGGTTATAAGGAAAGGTTCAGGTCTTTGAGCAGACCTTTGGCCTTGTTGGCATGCCTGATCACGTTCAGTGCCTTCCGAGCCCCTTCCCTGTTATTTGTTTCCATTGTAACCACAGGAGCAATTGGCAGGCCCATAGCCCTGAGTGCAGAGGCCACTTCTTCTCCAGTGCTTTCCCAGAGATCAGTTGGAGCTGAGAATGATAGACAAAAATGATAGAAAGAGAGACAACAAAACAACTATATGTATTGTATATTCAAATTCATGCATAAAATGCTAATTGAATAATAACATGCAGCACTTGAATTTAAGTAGATGGTCAGGTGGTACTGTATGATATTTAACGAGAAATACACGATTATTGAAGGAGTGTTAGGCTGTAAAAATAATACAAAAACAGCAGCTCGTATAAATGCTGGGAGTTCGGCAATGCTTTGATATGCATTTTCCACAATGGCACAAACAGCAGTGATCAGATCCTACTTACCAAACATCTCTGCTGCAATAGGCTATATGTTCAGCTCCACTACTTTCTGAGCTTCAGCCAGCCTCTTTGTTTTCGTTTTTTCATTACTGGACCAACTGATTAATCCAGTTGTGTCTGACCTCAGTAACCATTATGAAAGTGTCCAAAACACCTTGATTAATGAGTTGGTAGAGTAATGAAAGACAGGAATCAAAGGAGCTGGCTGAAGTTCAGGAAATAGTGGAGTTGGAGTTTTCTTTTTCTCACCAGCTGGCCATTTTCCAATCTTCATTCTTTACCTGCATCATCTCCTGATCACACATTTTTATATAAAAAAGCTGCCCCTGTCTCTCCATGAATAAAACTAAGGTACCTCCAAACTGTCACTCAGCATTATGAAATTAAATAAACAGTTTATCTGTTTTGTTTAAAGTAAGTTTTTTTTCACAGCAAAACATCTAGCATGGAAGAATTAAAAAAGCCTATGTTATATTAAAATAGACTTTTCATGATGTTAAATCCTCACCTGAAATGACTGCGACGTGAGCCCAGCGAAAAAATCGGAGAACTGTAAAAAGGACTTTAACAGGGGATGTTATGGGTGGAAGGTTCAACCAATCAGCATCTAAACAGCCTGGAGATGCCAGCCCAGCTTCCCAATGCTGGGCGAATAAGGATGCTGCATGGCAGAGGGTGGGATTAAAAGGTCCAATATAGGCATGGCCATAACCCTCCATCTCCCCCAGCTCGGTCAAGGCTGAAAGGACAACAGTTTCACAGGCTTGATTAAGACAGTATTTCTATTAGAATAACATTCTAAGTTTAACAGATGTTTTATATAAGTAAAAAATCCGAAGCATTTTTATATAAGCTATTTTACAATTGAATGGTTTAAAGAATGAAGTTGCCCTTTTAAGTAATATAACTTTAATTAATGATTTCTAAAGTCAGAATTCTGCCAAAGGGACCGAAACATAAATAATAATTTGAGCCATTTTATTTAAAACACAATCACATAAACTTGCTTGCTTTTAATGCGCCTGTAGATTCTCCTACTTGCATGTAGAGAAAAGATGTTGAAGTTTGTGTGTTATCATGCCACCAATTTTAACTTTAAGGGTGGAACCAACCTGAGAAAGTAAACACAAAATCCCACCTCTTGAAGCAAAACGTTTTCTTCCTCACTGTAGCTAGGAATGATTACAAATCTTATATTCAAGCTAATCAGTCTGTTAAAGAATAAAAATTGGTTGTAAAGTTATCATAAATAATGAAGTTTAACGCAGTCATAAATTTGCTCTGATAGCGGTAGCAATACGCTCTGAAATGATAGAATAGAACGGAATAGAATAGAAATCCCTTTATTGTCCCACAATAGGGAAATTCGTATGTTTACAGCAGCAAAGAGATTATAGAAAAACTTGTCACACAAATGTGGACCTTAAAAAAGTGAATAGAAATAACATATTACTGAAGAGTTAGAAAATAAACAAAATACTGTACTATAAAGTGTTTTAACAACATAAATACTGTGCACCTGGAAAATAAATAACCAATATACAGCTGTAGACATTTTTACAGTAATGGATATTTGATTAATGTTAAAATAGGATTTATGAACCAAGCTAACATTAACTTAGCTGTTTATATTGAGAAAAGTGAGGTTTGAATGAATACCTCTCATCTCTGAACACAGGTATGAACTATTACAATCAGTTTGTATCTACTGTTAATCATTTTTCTTTTTGTGTCCAGCGTTGTGTCTAGAAAATTGTCACTTGATGACAGACATGGCTGTTGCATGTTGGATATAATGTCAAAACAGTGTAAAAAACAAAACAAAAAAACAACTTAATTTTTTAGCTGAAAAGCAATTTTCAGTTGTTTAAACCTGAAAAACTAAGTGTTGAATATAGGGACAATAATTTAAGTAAGTTCATAAAAACAAGTTCTTTAACTTTATTGAATGAATTCCGTAAAAATTCAAAAAATATGACTGAGAACCTTCATCAACTTTATTGAATGAATTATAGTATTATGCTATTAAGTTGTTTAGTATTTTAATGGGTGAAAGTCCAGCCACTTTTTGTGTTTCCGTTGTGAAATGCAGGGGAATCAGGTTTTAGAGTTGGCATTTCAGTTAGAGGCTCAATGTTCTTTTAATGTTCAATTGATCCTGTAGTCCTGTAGAGATGCTGCTAATCAGAATGTTTTGTACAATCAAAATAAAGCTTATTTAATTCTACTTTAGGTTTAAAATTGACATATAATTAGGTTAACAGTGACCTGGGACTGGGAATGCCATGGGGTGACCTAGTGGTTATCAAGAAAAGCGTTTTCTTCTTGAAGCAACCATTAAGGTCAGAAGTTCAAATCTTAGTATTACTGTCACTGTACTAAAAAGAAATAGCTAAAAAATGTTGATGACAAATTTCCCCACTAAGGGACAATAGTATCTAAATTAATGTATGACTTAAGTAAGAAGTTCGAGATTTTTAGTTTATTCATTACCTTCTCTAAGTCACCGCTCTTTTTACGTAAGTAGGAAAATAATTCAGCATTTCAAGTTACAATAACAGAATTAAAAATATGTCAAACTTGAAAGGAAAAATTAAATAATTAGGCTAATTCCCAAACTGAAAAATTATGGAGTGTTATTGGTGCAAAAATTAAGCACATCCAGTCTATTACCTTAGCGCTGCTCACTATACCCTTTCTGATTCCAGCTACTGATCTGAGTAATAATAGGCTGGCACCAGTAACTGAGCGTCCAGCACTGCTAAGGGGAGACTATCCTGCTTTAGCTTTGAAGAGGCTTGTGTTAGTATTGGATTGCATGCTTTGGCTGGTCATCCACTACCATAGAAGCACAAAGCTGAAGTTGGCTTATGACTGCAGCTTTGTTAATTGAGAAACACCTATAAGGCCATTGAACCACTATCCTCAATCCCTTATGCATCTTTAATTTGCTCTACTTTACAAATTACAGTACTGTAACACTGGGTTTGAAAAGTTTTCAATTTGTATCCAAATCTGCCGCTCAAAAGGTTGAAGTTTGTCGATCAAAGAGTGTTCTCTGAACACTCATGTGTGCAATATACAACATGGTCAACATGCGTGTTTAACGTGCGTGCATGTGTGTGTTAAATAGAGCTGCTTGTATGGGCACATGGTCTTTTGGCAGAATCCTGACTTCGTAATTGTACGTCTATGGTGTCTGATAGTCTTTCTGACATGCTGTTTCTCATGACTTCATGCAATTCTCATTATTTGGTTAATATTTGGATGCTGGTAGGTTACACACCTCTGGAAACAGAGCAATCCTCGTTGAGAAGTTTTACATCGTACCAGTATCCTCTCTTCAGGTAGCTGTCGCCTCTTAGTCGTGACAATGCCAGGTTAGCTGCAGCGATCGGCATTGCTCTGGAGAACAGCGGGTCACACGACCATGGGCCAACAAGGGCAAGCTTAAAGGTTGCTGCCCCCACATCCTTAATAAAAAGCAACCAGAAAGACAGCCCCAGCACAGAGACAAGCTGCATCTTGGTGACCACCTGCATGACATACAAATAATTGTTATGTTGGTTTTGCTTCGTTTAATCTAAGTAGTTAGATGAAAATTAGAGTGGCTGACATAGTCAATGGTTAAATATAGAATTTTATAATATAATCTTTTTTTTTTTGTCTAATCTTTTCCTGATTTTATTTAAACTTTTTAAATACTGGACATTAAGAGAAATAACACTTTAAAAAACTAAACAGATAGCTGAGCTAATTGCTCATTTCACTCACCTGCCTAACTCTGCCCGGTTACTAATTATGACTCATCTTATCACCTGCTCCTGCTGCTTTTTATATGCCTCAACCCAGCTATTGGGCCAGATCATTGTTGCTGAGATGACTTCCAGATCTTTGTTTCTGTTTCTAACTTTGTTGCTGAGTTTTACTTTAGTTCATGTTCTCGTTCTCGGAGGCCAGTGTTGAGAACCTTCCTGTTCTGAACAGTTTCCCTGACCTGGCTTGGACTCCTGTCTGTTTACTGGGATTGCTGCATCTGGTTTCACTTTGGGCGGCGTCCACCGCATCTCTTTGGCAGTCCATTGGCTGGATCCTACCTTGCTCTAAGGAGTTGGACTGAACTGTTAAATCAGGTAAGTGACTCACATGGATAATCATGTTCCATCAGATCATCATGGTCACTTACCTGTGCTTCTCCCTAAACCAGAGTTACCAGTGATGGGCAGTGCCCTGCCTCCCCTTGCAGCTGCTGCAGATCCACAGCTCTGCCTTCTGTTCTGTTTTTAATAAACATTTGAATAATTCCCACTGACTGTCTCCCCTCAAATTTTGGGTGCTAAGTTCTTAACCCATGACACCATCAGGAATATCCTTCATAGCCTATCACTTCCCATGATTTAGTTTGAGTTGAAGATGATTGGTCAAGCTTGGGGAGAAATGGCAGATAGTTATGGAGCTAGACCAGTGTCAATTTTCACAAATACACATATGTGATTCATACATGTACAGAACAACATCCACACATGCAGAGCACGATTCATGCAAGCACACAAGATCCACACATGCACAGAACAAGATTCACTAAAGTATTTGTGGTCCATAAACAGTTATAAATTAAATGACAAAGTACTGGTCGTCTTTAAACTTCACTGCATTTGTGTGGGGATTTTTTTTAGATTGCCCTGACGTGCCTCGATACACAAATGCATTTTTGGAATGGTTTGCCACCACTCACAAAGCTCCCTTGCATAAGTCAATCACAAGAAACTAATCCATGTGGGATGAATTATCCTCATATCCCGCATCCTCCGCTCTGTTCCAGACTACCTGCACAAAGCAAAGCCTACAGCCTCTGCAGTTCCTCCTGTTCTGCTCTGCTCTGACTTCCTTGAAGCTGGAGGAGAGCATGCTCTATATTATTTAATTCATGGGAGAAAAAAAGCTTTAATGAACACTTAATTTAATATAACACAATTAAACTTCACCATCAGCATCAATCACACAAGTTTCTGCCAAAATATTATTTTTTTTTTTGTGGGTCTTTGTAATAGGAATAATCATAAAACATTGGTTTATTCTTTACCTCCAAACTCGGCATCTGTTCATTGATGCTTGCGATAAGAAGTTTATTTTGAAGTTGTGAGAGACGCACTTGGAAGCTGTTTTGACTGGATTTCATTAAACTTTTAAGCCTCTCGGCATGAAATAAGTATTTTGATCGAGATGAGAAATCTGCTTCCTGGAATGTTGAGGTTCCAGAGGAAGAACTGTGTTTAAGTAATTTTGAAGATTACTGAAAAGTGGTCAGAGAGGACAGGGTTGTGAGGAAATAGTGTTATTTTTTCACATCCAATGCTATATGAAAGTACCAGATTCAAAGAATGAAGATGAGAATGTGTTGGATTAATCACATTTTGAACAAAGCCAGTGTCTAAGATAGCATTAAAAGCTGCACTTAAGCTATCACCTTCAATGTCAGCATGGATGTTAAAATCCCCCACTATGATGACCCCGTCAATATTCAACACCAAATCAGGTAGGAAAAGAAGACGTTTTGTTGCTTACAGTAGCAATTTGGATGAGGGAAACTAAGGGTTAAATGTTCAAGAGTTGTAATTATTAACTGTCTTTGGGTTAATATGTAAGTCAGACTAAAATATTGTTTGTACTCGTCCTCCTCGCCCAGAATTTCTGGGTATGTGAAAATTGAAATAATTTAAATGCTCTTGCTGCAGCCAAGTTTCTGTAAGACAGCATAAATCCATGTGATTATCACAAATCAAGTCTTTAATTAGCTGACTTTTTGAAGAAAGAGATCTTATGTCAAATAAACCACATTTAATCATTTTAACTTTTTCCCTAATTCCAGTTATTTGAATTGTGATTAGATTTTAATGATATACTCCTTTTAGGATTCTTTTCTATTTTATTAGATTTTGGTCATGAGCTAGACACTGTCTGGATGGAACAATGAGTGGGTAACAGTAGAGAAGCTGCAGAGAGGTGTGTTAAACTATGACTCTGCTTACTGGTCTGCACCATGGCTTGTTGGGGTTTTGGAGGACTAATAAATTTGGCCAGATTCCTAGAAAGAAGAGCTGCACCATCCAAAGTGGAATGGATGCCGTCTCTCCAAATCAGACGAGGTTTTCCCCCAAAATGTCTACAAATTAATAATGGAACACTCTTTGTTTGAGTATATAAGAATTATGCTCTAATTTGTAATGACCCATCTGTTGTTAATATATTTTAATTTGACAAACCAAATAATCTCGACATTCTTTCTACTGTTGGGTGCAAATGCAATTGCGGATCTTGACCTGGCCGGACGAGAGTGGAGCAAAAAATAGCTGTGCTCTGTATTTTGACAGTGAAGGATGGAGGAGACATACTTGGAGACGGTGATGTGCATAGGAATAGTGATAGACGTGGAACAGTTCTCGGTGATTAATATGAGTGAGCAAGTGCTCCACACGACATACGTGAGCGGGGTGGAGAGGAGGGATGACGGAGGATGTGGGATCTGGGAGTAAGTCACACGTAGAGTTCTTTCTTGTAATTGGCTTATACAGGGGAGCTTTGTGTTTGGTGGCAAACCATTACCTATTTTTAAAAATGCACTTATGTATTGAGGCAAGTCAGGGGAGTCTTAAAATTCCACACATAAATGCAGTGAAGTTTAAAGACCACCGGTACTTTCTGATTTAATTTATCATTTTTTTATGGACCAGAAATATTTTGGTGAATGTTGTGCCGTGCATGTGTGGATCTTGTGTGCTTGTGTAAATTGTTCTATGCATGTGTGGATCTTTTCATGTGTGTGGATTTTTTTGTGCTTGCGTGAATCATTTTGTGCATGTGTGGAACTTGTCCTGTGTGTGCATGGATTTTTTGTGCATGTGTGGATCTTGTCTTGTGTGTGTGTGTGTGTGTGTGTGTGTGTGTGTGTGGATCTTGTCCTGTGCATGTATAAATCACAAGTGTGTATTTGTGAAAATTGAGACTGATCTAGATCCATAGATAACAGCGACAGAAATTAAGAATGAAAATTAAAATATTATACTTTCAGGGAACCAAAATAAACATTTAAGATATTTTGAGGTAGTAATACAGGGTTACTAAGAGAGGAGTCTTCTAATCAGAACAGGTATGATGACAAATATGTCCTTCGGAGGACACAGCCTTCGCATTTGAAACACGCCAACTGTGTATCTTAAACGCAGAGAGGTGAACTTCCTACAGGGCTTGCGGAAAACACAGCGGACACCGCGTTTGGTCTGAACACACCATCAGGGATTAATGAAATATTTTTAAATTGAACGAATTTTAATTATAAATATTATTATCATTTGATTTAAATGTGGATATTAAATCACTATATGATGAGTACCTTTCATCATAAAAATAGTTTTGTCTCCTTGAGCCTCTCAGAACACTATGGACTGTATCAGTAAAGGACTCTGATGCTCCCAAAAATGGTAGAGAAGGAGGCGTGATTGAAATCACAAGATGAGCTTCTCTAGGTTAGCTAATGACATCACACACACCAAAAATTTCTGTTATATATAAAAATAACTCTTAAAGACAATCCTTTGTTTTATTTTCAGACATTTAAATGATCACGACTAATTTAATGTAAGCAAACATATTTTATAAATAAATGTTTCATACAGCATATAAAATAACCAATCAGATCATCTGTTATCTCAAGTCTAAACTGGAACCACTGATGATTGAGTTGACGGCAAAATCCATAGAACAATATCTTTACATTACTGCTGTGATGTAGGGGTTATTTGGAAAATAAAACTACAATATGAGAGTTTTTAAATCAACTAATTGCTTTGAGAAATCTGCAGCTAATTAAGGAAATTACCATGGTATGTAGATATTATATTAGAATAATCCACTTCTCCTCTACATATGATTTAGTAAAATAAATGAAGCACAATCCAAGGGGAACCACTAATAGTTTTATTAGTGTGTTTCAAGAAATGCTATGCACAAAAACATAAAAAAATATAGAGAAAGTTCTTAGAACTTGAATAAAAAATCTGGAAGTGGAAAAGTGCTTTAAAAGGGTTTTACCTTTGTCTTAGAGTTTCATGAATCCAGAGAAATCTTCATCCTCTCTTGGCTCTCTGTGAAGGACAGAGATGAAGGAACCAGAGGGCTGCAACCGGAATCCTCTGAGGATTTACTTTAATCCTATTAAAAGCTCAAAAACATTCAGGATGTTTAGCGTGCGATCAGAGGTTGTGCCGTGTGATTCTATTTAAATCTTTCTCCAGATATGCAACTACACTTTATCAGCTTGCACAAGCAACAATTTCATGTCATTGTATGAAATAGCAGAGTTGTGCAGATATGCACAAGAAGTCTTTATGGGGTAAAAAAAGCATTTGCTCCATTGTGACCAGACAGACAGACAGATAAATAATTTATTAATCCCCGATAGGAAAAATTCACCTGCCTGATAACAAAGAAAAAGGAGACACCTCGCCTGTTCAGCCAGGCCAACAATTCCCTTTGTTGGCCTGGC